GAATGTATAGTATTGTGTTTTACTATAATGCACTGCAGCTGTGTTTACAGTAGCACTTAGACTGGACAGGTAGCGCTTTAGACAGGGCTTAATAGGAGACAAACCAGTTATTTCACCCATTTACACATTTCACAAAAAACAGTGAGGACATTTTAGTTTCATCAGAAGGAATTCTGCTTCAGTTCAGCTGTGCAGTGGTTCTCTACTGCCATCTGCTGGATGATAACGCCCCTACATGTCAGATGATTACCAGACAATACCTTCACTCCAGGACATATCTGCAAGTTTTATAAAGAAACATATTTTTGTTCTTATTTTTATTTAGCTGCGTACAATGAAATGCTTGAAACAAGCTGTATGAAAAGAGCTGGGTTCTGGGTTCAGTATCTTGCTCAAGGATACTTTGACACTTGGCAGGAGGAGCCAGGGATCAAACCAACAACCTTCCGATTAGGGGACGACCCACTCTGCCTCTGAGCCACAGCCAAAATGGGCAGAGAAAGAGAAAATGTTGTAGATTGTACCACTAAGATTGTTCTGTAAAAGGAAAATCAACAATAACATCATAACCTGAGGTGGCAGACATACACCCATTCTCTACACAAGCAGAAGTACAGATACTTGTCTAGAAAAGACACCATTAAAAGTAGAAGTACTGCTTCTTTACTCAAGTAAAAGCAGAACAGTACAGGCTCTGAAATGTACTCAAGTACATTTATAAAAGTAAAAAGTACTAAGTAAGTGGTTTCTCTGAAGGACAAGCTGAAGACCGGACAATCATACAAAAAGACCGTCAGGAAGGAGCATAAAGGTTATTACAGAGTAACTATACCATAAAACACACTAAATGACTGCTCAGTAACCACTGAAGATCTGCCAAGGCTGGGTCCATGCTGTAGCATCCATGGATTCAAGTCCAACCTGTGGCCCTTTGCTCCATTTTATCGCCTCTCTCTGCCCCCATCTTTTCTGTCAATCTTCAGCTGCCACTTTCGAAATAAGGGAAAGGAAAGCCACCAAAATATACATAAAAAATGTGTTAAGTGAATAAAGTAAGACTACCTTTAATGCATCTTGTTTACAAAAACGTTACCACTTGAACTGAATTTAATAATTTTTTTTCCCACTAAAGCATTTTATTACACTATCTGTCAAAACAGCTGACGAAAAACTACTCACAATGAATCAATTTTCAAAATGGTAGCCAATTTTGGGGCTTGCATTTTTTGAGTAAAGGTATAAAGTCAATTTCAAGAAAATTAGTCAATGGAACAAACTGGAATTATATCACTATGGCACAAATTTAAGTTCACTCAAAATAACTTAGTTATTACTTTAAGAATTTCTTTCTAAGTTGGCTTTAAGTCATGGGAATGATTGACCGAAAATGTTTTGGAAGATTAAGTTATGTTAGCTTACTTTTATTAGGATATTTTGTCAGGATTTACAGTGACATGTCTTGCATTTCATACATTGTCCCACAACTCATATTTGGCATTTTAGGAAACTTCTCTAAAAATCTCCTCTTGGATAATAATGAAGATCCGTGGTGGTAGATCAGCTTTTGTTTTAAAAAAAGGAAACATATGATATGCTGTACCCTACCAGCAAGTGCCAGGTTAGGTGTGATTGCCCAGAATGGAATTTAGCAATATAGCAGTTGCAGACTGTGACCAGTAGAGGGCACACTCCACTCAACTAGACAAAATAATGATTCTGATTTCAGCTCTACGTTCCAGAGGGGTTCCATTTGGTTCATCTAATATCTTTATTTAAATGAGACCAAGATCGCTATGTTAAAAATAGTCATCAAAATACAGCCCTGTATAGACAACATATGTGAATGTGGTGTCTGGCCCATGAGTATGTCTGTACAATTGACTAAAGCTGAGTCTCATATGGTAGAGCAGCTGTTAATATGTATGCATTTCTATGGTACCACTAATAATGCTGACAGACTATCCCTTCACTGAAAAACACACACTAAAAAGTGGACAAAACAACCAATAGTTTTTTTTATTGCCATTGTGCATGAACTTTGACACTGCAGGTTACACAAGGAGTATCATGTAGTGAGTTAATGAACACTCTGACCTGCCAGTGATGTGCTCTGGTCACTCTCAGTGCTGGTTTTGTATCAGTTGATGGCTTTAGCAACAAACTACTTGCTGATCCAGCCCCCATGCTCAAAACCAAAGTAATGCAAGATGAGATGCTTGTGTCAAAGAACGGACAACACCTTTTTTTTTTTTCTATTATTGCACACAACTAGTTACCAATGCCAAAGTATATGTGGGACATTGGGAAAGCCATAGCTCTTGGTAAGGTGCTGAAATGTCTTAAGAAACCACAACATTGCATTGAGCCTCTTTAAAAGCCACGTATATACAAAATATGAATGGAGCGTCAATGCAGGAATTCCACAAGCACACCAGATATCAAAACAAATGTGGGTTATATTTCACTCTTGCAAATGAAAGTTGTGGATCATTTACACTTGGGCAGGGTGATGCTCATTTAACAGCCTAGAGAGGATGGTGTTTCGCACAGAATACATGAGATGTTCAGAAGGTTTTGTTGCTTGGTGGTAGCATCAGGGTGCCTACAACACTCAGTAATAACAGTGACAGTGAGAGGGAGGCAGGCCAGTGTGATCCTTTTATCTGTGCATCAAACAGATGAAGGCGCTACTGCAACCAAACAACTCTTAGTACTGTAGCTAGTCTCTTACAGCGATCAAATCAAAAGGCTAAGAGATATTTTTAGGAATGAATCTTTGTGAGTCTATTTATATTGTGGATTCTAAAATCTAATGGAATGCATTTAATGGAATAGCAATTATCTGGATTATCAGAACAGTCTAAGTTAAGATATGCAGGTTGGAGTTAAGAGTTCTACAAACATTCATCTTGTATGGCTAGACTTTATTTTTAGCTTGTGCAAACCGTGTGGTTACATCCACTGTTGCCTATGGCTGGGTACCGAACGATACTTCCATGGTGCTGTGTGTGTATATATATATATATTATATAGTATATATATATAATATATATATAATATATGCCTGACAGTAGTACATGAGACATCTTAATCTGTGAAAACGAATCAGGCTCCTCTCTGCCGGGCTGAACAAAAACAACCCAATCAGATACAAGACAAGATAGATGATTTGATTATTGAGTCTCATTTACAAGCTGTCATATATCGATACTGGGAATGAGATCTCAACAATCAAGCTATATTTCAAGCTTCCAACCCAAAGTGTCTTTCCAGCTTTCTCAGATCTGATTGGTTGTTTTCATTCAGGCCCGGTGGATTCTTGCAAATGCTATTAGGAGCTCTAGGAGGAGCCAGAGGAACCCAATTTTTTAATTTTATCAGTCTCATGTACTACTGTCAGAACACAGTGAAAATATCAGAAATAATGACAAAAGGTTTTTTAAAAATACCAACTGCAGCTTTAACATATTATTTACCTTACTAAGTTGTTACTGCTAACATGTTGCTTATTTACAAATACAGCAGACACAGAGCAAAGTTAGCTTTCATTCATCTAAAGTTGTGTTTGTCCAATATTCACTTTCCCTTTAGCTCTGGTTTGGTCTCCACCAACTTTTTTTAGCTGCTAAACATTTTACTTTCTTTGTCCGCTAGCCGTTAAATGAGTCTGTATATTAGTTGGTGGAGGGTTGTGCCTTTTGTTAAAATGCAATCTGTTGCCCTGTTGTCCTTAGTAAACTGGCTATTGCTGGTCTCTTCAGTAACGGAAAACAGGCAACTGGCGAGTTGTGCTGAACAGATAATCATGACAACAAACCATCTGAGAAGTAATGTGAGGGAAGATTTGGAGATTTACACTGTAGACGGGGAAATAATGAATGACATAATAATAATGTTTGCCTTTCGTTAAAAAATTTTTTAAAGACATTTTTTAAATGGGAAATGTCCCTCTTGGCATACTCTTTAGGTAGCACGATAATTATCGTAAAAGATAAATTATTGGCCGATAAGGCGAAATTTGTATTATAAATGATCAGGTTTTTTTAAAAGTTTTTAATGAACTTTACTAGAAAAAAATGTCTCAGGCTTTCTTACCCTCAGGTGTGGAAAAACTGAAGGTTATGATTTTTTTATGTTACTGGCTTGCCAATGAGAAGGTAATTGTGGAATTATGTATACTCTTGATCAAAATTCTTCCATAATCCAATTTAAAGGGATTCCTGTCCATAATGTTTATGTGTTTGTGCTAAAAACTAATCATCAGCCAATATATTAGCTTTTGTTTTCCAGCTCACAAATATTGCTAAATATGGATGGTGGGAAATAAAGTATCGCTCAGGTTCTAGTCTGGATCAGGTAAAGCTGCACAGTGAAACTGCTTCTTTGGCTAAGAAGACTGAGGTTTAACTTATCAAATAAGATAATTTCTAGCTTAGAAAAATGTTTGCGCAACTACAACTCCAACCTGCACCTATTCAGAACCAAGTACTTCAGTTTGATTGTATCTTCACGTAACGGTTCTGCAGTCCACTTGTGGTCCGCTGTCAACAGGCTCAGGAGAGCCAATCACAAATTGTCTTCAGGCTTAAATAAGGGACGACCACTGAATGTCGTCCAAGTCTCTGTCTGGCATTCTTCCATCAACACACACATTAATTGCAATTAATGCCATCGGTCACAGTGTGTGTGTGGACCATACAGTATTCCCCCAGCAGTCAGAGAAGGCAACCACAAGGGGATGCCTGCTACTTCCACCCTTTACCCTCTGCAGCTAGCTATCGTCTGAGTCTAGTCTCAGACCGCACTCTGGAACAGAAAGGAATGATTCGTCTGGGAATGAGAAAAAAAAAAAACAGGAATAACTGACAGTGAATCTGTTCTGCTTTGTCAAGCTGCAGATATTTGTATGGACATACATTCCAAATTACCTGAGTATAGACTCTGATTGTGAAATACCTGAAGCGAGGCCAGATGCAGACACTGCAACCAATTTGAGGCCATTTTTTTTCTCTTTGCCGAATTGTTCTCTCATTGCATTTGTTTTTAGAGAGGGTTTAACAATGTGACCTGGATAGTGTAAACATAATCCTGAATAGTACAGCTGTTTTTCCTGTCCGGTACATAACACAGCAATACACAGTTTGGGATTTTTTTTTTTTTTTTTACACAAGCATTTTTCTTTTTCATAGAGATATATGTGTATATATATGTTTAGAGAGCTTATTCATACTGTGAATGTTGAAACAGAACACAACACATAATTTAATCAGAAACATACTACCAGTTTAAAATGCATGCCCCTACCCCCATCCATAGTGCTCCATTCTTCCCTCCAATGCCTGCATATGATAACCTTTAACCATCAGGTCCTTCCCTGCCATCAACAGCTCAGACATTATGCAGGACAGAACATTAAGGTGGCGAGTCTTTGTGGTGGCGGTGGTGGTTATTCGGGACATTGTTGCTACGTCATGCAGAGATAGGGTGGGGTGGAGGGGGTCAGCACAGAGAGACGGAGGCTCCCCTGGCAGAGCAGAGGGAGGTGTTGGTGGGGCAGTCAGTGGCGATGGTCGGTGGTCGCTAGCGTGGGATCCGGAGCCAGAGGCCAGCTCTGCTCAGGTCTAGCTGATGGCCGGGCTGTCTGTCTGGGGGTCTGCAGTCTCTGAGGGCGAGTCAGGCTCCTCCAGGGGGTCTTCTGTGCTGGTGCTCGTGGAGACCTGAGTGGGGGCGCCATACAGCGATGTGGCCCCCTGGAGCTCTGAGACGGAGCCCACCTCTGCGATGTCCTCATCCTCCTCGGGCTCTGAAGCCGGGGTGAGGTGCAGGGAGCCGGGGAGTTTGACAGGGCAGAAGGCCGAGCCCGTCGGGATGAAGTTGACCTTGTTTTTGTCAGGGCAGGAGAAGAGGGGGACCGACGCCGATGTGGACTGCCTGGAGCTGCAAATAAACATATGTCAGTGTCATTAGAAGTCACACATTCCTGAGGTGTTTTACTTTAACACAGTCTATACCTCATCTCCTCAAAAGCTTTAATCTTCTCACAGCCCTCTGGCGGCTCTCGCTTGAACATGTAACTGTTGTTGGGTTTGGGCGAGGAGGCAAACTTGGGCAGGGGTGAGCTGCTTCCACTGTCTGTGAACACAGAGATACAGGATAAGATACAGGCTTAATAAACACCGATTTTCGTTAAGCGTTTCTGGAGCATTTGTCTACCACTACCACTTGTAGACATCTCTGAGTAAATACACTAACTATCCACGCTGATCAGAGACAGACTAATATATTTATATATAAGCCCCTAAATTAGGTGGCTAAAGTACATTTGTGGTGGCGCAAAAGTAAACTTAAGTAAAAACTAGGGATGGGCATGACTGATCGAC